AAGATGCATTATGTAAAGGTACAGTTCCCAGTGAGAAATGTAATTGTGTTGTATACCTACAATGTACCAATAGAAGAATTTAATACAAAAAAAAATAAAAGAATCATACTACAGTGATATATGTACACTCATGGTCATAGCGGGACAGTTTGTAATAGGTAAAACTTGGAAACAGCCCAAATATGCATCAACTGGAGACTGGATAAAGAAAATGTTATTTTTTAATGAAATGGAGTACCACTTAGCCATAAAGAACAAGAAACTAGAGACATTTATAGCTAAATTGATGCACATTAAGGCCATACTCTTAAGTGAAATAAATAGGACACTTATATGTAAATAGAGAATAGTTTCTCTAGTGTGAGAAACTGAAAGTGTAAATAAGGACTAAAAGGTACAAATATAATGTGAAATGGGAAGAAAAGGGGTTAAGGGGAAGGCAAAGTGGGAGGGATAGGGTAAAGGAAAGAAGTTAATGACATTTATATGAGAAAGTGAAAAAAATGGAAACAAAGTCTATGTAAATAGGGAAGAGTTGAGGGTTTGAAGGGAGGGCAGGGGAATGGGGAAAAAATAAGAACCAAGATAGATTGTGTAAAGGTGCAAATTTCCAATGATGAATGTCATTATATTTTATACCTAAAAAGTACCAATAAAATTAGTAAAAAAAGAATGATAAACTAAAGACGTTTAGAGCTAAATGGATACACATTGAGGCCATATTCTTAAGTGAAATAAATAGGACATACATGTGTAAATATCAAATTATTTCTCTGGTGTGAAAAACTGAAAGTATAAATGAGGACCAAAATGTATAGTAGATAATGTGAAATGGGAAGAAAAAGTCCAAAGTGCAAAGTGTAAGGGAAAAGGAAAGTAGGGAAAGAAAAAAGTTTGAGAAAAGAGGGGGAAAAAGAAAACAAAGCTTTTGAAAATAGGGAGTAGTGGAAGGGAGGAAAGGGGAATGGGAAAAAACAAGAACCAAGATATATCATGTACAGGTACAAATTCCCAATGATGAATGTGATCATAATGTATACCTAAAATGTACCAATAAACTTATGGGAAAAAAAAGAAAAGAAAAGCTGACCCATGTGGAATAAAGACCCTAGTGGAATCAAGATAGGATTATATTTTGTTTAAAGAAAATTAAGACTATATTCAAGAAGGTGAAAGCAAATCTTGAAAAAATGGACAGGAATCTGGAGATATAAAATTTGTTATTGTGGATTTAAAAAAAGGCAAAATAGAAATTCTAGAAGTGAAAGCAAATAAATAAAATTTTGAGAAAACAGGATTAATATTTGATTAGACATGGTTGAAGAAAGAACAAAAGAATGAAGTATAGATCAGAATGTTAGGCTATAGGGTCATAGCAAAACCCCTTAGCAGTATGTATTGATGTTCAGGAGGCTCCCTAGAGAACAGAGGGTTAATCTGCAACATAAATGTGCCCACCACAACCAGTGGTGTCTGCCCATTTGGGAAGGGGATGAGAGAGTGTAAATATCCACAGAAAAATGATCCCATATGTGCTACCTTTCTTCTATGACTTCTCAAATCATTCTATTTGGAGTTTCATAGAAACAATGAAATAAAACAGTGGACTCTTTAAAATATAGACTTTTTAATAAAATAATAGACCGCTGCCTGCTGCGCAAGTGGAAGGACCTGAGTTCAATCCCCGGTACCGAAAAAAAAAAAAAAAAGACTATTTAAAATCCTTAGCAGATTCCAGGTAGGACAAAAATAGATCACTTGTTGAGAAACTCTTATGTATAATGTTTTGCTGAGGTTACACATTTAAAGGAATTTTAATCTACACTTGTTATTTTTAATTCAACTCTGAAGCCAGTGACTACTGTTGCAATTCTTTGTTCTACATGTTGGTCTAAAATCTTTCATACACCCACATTGTAAGGGGTACATGGTTTCTCATTTTAGTTTTTAGTGTATAAACAATTGAAGGTTCTACTTATGTTGTCTTTGTGCCATTTAATCCTCCAAATGTGGCTTCTTAAATCTTAGATTTCTAAACTAGTCAGATCTGCTAATTTCATCAGGAAAACGAGCTTACAATTTTGTGGCTCTTCTCCTGTGCTGGTCCATGGGGTCTTCAGACCCCAGGGGTGCTTCAGACATTGAAGGGGCTACCACATTCAGGTGCTTTCCTTCGGAGTCACCTCCATGGTGTCACCTCCATCACCTACTCTTTCACTTTGCTCACAACTCACTGATTTCTCCTAAATGTCATCCTTCATCTTCTTCCTTCCTATGTTTGTGCTTCGGGGTGACTATCAGATTTGAGACATAATTTATTTCTAGCAGTACCTTGTCCCTTGTGTTGCTACTTTTCCTTGGCTCCAGCAGACCCACTGCTCATAGTTTTTCTGTCTCAGAACCACTTGAGGGAGGTGATTCCTAGCATATACAAATTAGCAAACGTTGTGAGATAATACTTTAAAATATTAGCCATTGATATTGTGTTTATGTTTTAAAAAGAATTGTATTGCAAACATCTTCTTCATCCTCTCTGATATTCTCCCTGCTACTTTTGTGTTTCACTCTTTTGAAAATAATTTGCTTATTGAAAAGTAAATTTGTTTCTCGTATGGGAAAGTGGGTCCTGAGGCAGTTGGGAGAAGATCAGAATTTGTCCTCACATTGCTGAGGATCCTCTCTCTGCTTTGACCAATGTGCTCCCTATTTCCAGAGGAAGTCCTAGACCTAGAGTGTCATATAGGTGTCCTAAGTTCATGAGTTTTTGAAGACATCCAGCTTGCTTCCATCTCAAAGAAGAAAAGAGTCAAATTTCAAAATATATTTTAATATATGAATCTTACAAGTCTGAAGTGGTATAATATTTCAAAGATGAATTTACCCATTTAACTATTATTTTTCAGAATTAATATTCTCATATTTATTTGAGAAATTAATATTCTACATTTAACATATTATCTGAAATTTCAAAGAGAGTTTTTAGGTAAACTAAGAATTTCTTTGAAGATGCTCCAGTGTGTCTCAATCTGTTCCATAATGTAATTAATGAAAGGGATTCACATGTATCACCAAATTTGAGGTGGTTTAGCTGAAAAAGTTTAATACAGCTTACTGTGTTCCTAGAAGAAAAGAAAATACCTCTTAAATGTAGTTAAAAGCATTTTGAGTTTAAGTATTCTATGTGATACCAACTTTCTTTTCCAAAATTAGGCATTTCAGTATTGTCATTCTTTTTTTTTTTAACCTAAGAATATTTGGTTCTAGGTATCCCCACATGTTAAACAATTATATTTGCTAGTTGATGCTAGCAAAGCTTATTTTTGTAACACTTCTAAAGTCTCATCTACAGATGGGTTCTTCTATTGTGTGACCCCCCAGCCTATCAGTGGCTGCTTGCAGTATTATGTTAGGAAATTTGGAGGCTCATTCTAATGGGTTGAATGATCTTAGTATGGATCTGTTCCTGGTGTCTGGCATAGGGCATAGGGCTGTGGATGAGTGTGTGTGTGTGTGTGTGTGTGTGTGTGTGTATGTATTAGGGGAAGACAAGGAAGGAGTGGTACACAGCCTGCTTCCAAATATTTCCAGCTCTGAGCTGAGATGGAAAGTATGTATGTATGAAAGTAGTTAAGTGTCTTCTTTCAGGTTTAATACCATAGGGTTGGTGGCCTGGTAAAAACTTTCTTTCACCTTGCTTAAACCAACCATGAGTGAGTAAAGAGGGCTCTTTGGTTAATTAAGATCTGCAGTTGTTGGACTGGGGATTTAGCTCAGTGGCAGCATGCCTGCCTTGCAAGCACAAGGTCATGAGTTCGATCCCTGGTACCAAAAAACCAAAAAAACCAAAAAAGACCTGAAGTTGTCAAAGCAAGACAAAGAACTATTTTCTCTCATTCTGTAGATGACTTTCATGGGGAGAGCTATTTTCCAAGCTGGGAACTCACCATTTGGTGACCCTGTGGTGATCCCCTTGGTAGTGTGTGTGGCCCTTTGGATGCCTGCAGGGGTAGTTGCTTCAAAGTCATCATCGGTGACACCAGGAGTCAAAAGGTGGCCCTCTGGGGTGGCCTGGATATTAGCATTCTCTCCTGCTTGTCCCCCTGGAAGGGCTCCATTCTGGGCATCTAGATTAGCCCCTGACTGACTGGTGGGCAGGATGCTTCCAGGGAACAGAGGATGCAAGAGGAGGCCTGTGAAAATCTGGGAGCCCAATGGCTAGAAGAGCAAAAGAAACAGAAGACAAAGTCAGAAGGAACACATTTGATGTCTGGTTAGTTGACCTTTCATCTTTGGAGGGCAGAAAGCTGGGGTAGAAACAGCAAGCTGGAGAGGGTAGAGTCAGATAAAATGTGAAGATCCTGTGTTCCTCAGAGGAGATGCCTCTGGGCCAGAGCCACATGGATGCTGTTTTCATCACTGGGACTTAATGGACTCTGCTGGCTCCTTTCCTCAGAAAGGGAAAGCCAGAATTAAGCCAACCATGGGAAAAGGTAGCTTGTAAACCTGGAGAATACTAAGGCAGAAAATCCATATGACAGTGATGGGCTATCTCTCTGTTACTGATCTATGACATAACTCTCTTTTTCCTAATAAAAGTTTTAACAAAAGTACTAAGCAAGTTAGGAGATTAAAAATTAATGAAGAATTAGTTCAAGTAGATTAACCAGCCATCACCTTCACTGCTCTAATCTTTAAAATTTTTTTTTTTCAGGGTAAGGGAAAGAATCTAGGTCCTTGCACACACCATGCAAGTGGCCTACCACTGAGTGCACCCCCAGCCCTTTGTGTTTTTCAAGGTCTTGGAATATTCATTCAGAAATATTTCTCTTGTCAATTCAGCCACTCTGTGTGGTTTTTGAAATAACTGAATGAATTTTTCGAGTTTTCCATTGTTGAAGAGATTCTGATTGGGCAGGTCTAGGTCAGGCCCCAGAAATTTGCATTTTAAACTACTTCTTAAAGTCATCCTGAGTTAGTGGGCCAAGAATGAAGTTTGTCTCAGATTTAAGAGAATCCAGAAGTAGATTTATGAAACCAGAATGAGAATTAGGCCAGGTGGGATAGAAACACAGAATTTTTCAAACTGAGGATGATGACACCCACAGTTTTGAAATAAAAATGAGTGACAACCATCAGTAAAAAACTAAGACCGAGGGCCAGGATTTAGCTCAGTGGTTCCACCACCTACCTCGTAAGCACAAGGTCCCGAGTTTGATCCCCGATACCAGAAACAAAACAAAACAAAACAAAAAACCCCACCTAAGACTGAACAGACTGCAAGTTACGAGATTTAGAGTTTCTTGTCAAAAGAGACTATGTGAAGACAGAAGACATTGTATAGAAGTTAAAAGAAGTTAATATGATAGTGATTAAGTTTTTTTTTTTACCAGTTCCTCAGAGCTTAGGATAGTAGCCTAAAAGCAAAATTATAAACACAAGGTATTAGGCAAATTTAAATATATTGAAGGGACTATACATTATAAAACATAACTTAAAAACTTAAAATAAATTAAAGTATTTTAAAGAAACATTTAAAAAATTTCAACATTGTGTTAAGCTGTCTTGTGATCTTTACACAAAACTGACAGTAGCATATGATATAGGATTGTCCATATGTATGATTTGAATGATGTGAGGACACTTTCATTTAAACAGTTATGTATTTTTCTATTTTAAGTAATAGATGCATAGTGGAGGAAACTTGGAGAATGGAGAGAGAGGCATAATTCCACCATTCAGTTTCATGTACTATACTTTTTCCATATATTTCTTCTTTACATAACAGAAATTATATCATTATATAGTTTTATGTCTTGCCTTTTAAAAAATATTCCATAGCAGTCACTTAACTGTACTATTTACAAATTTTAATAGATATAATTTTGAATGGCCACATAGTGTTTATTCTTATTTTGAACAGTTTACCTAACCATTTTTTCCAAGTCATAAAATTGAGTTATACCCAACATTTTTCTCTACCAAAATATTACTTTGATGGCAATGTTGAGCATAAGCCTTTGCTCTATTTCATATTATTTTCTTGGGACATGGTCCAAAATGTGGAATTAAGGATTGTTTTAAACTTTATATTGAAGTCTTTTTTTAGAAGTAAAGTTGTCACTTATGCTGATATTAATCTTGACCCTTAGTAATTTTATCAGTGCTATCAGGAATTACGGTCACAAAAGTAAATAAGAAGAGAGGAGAGAAAATGGTCTCTTTTGGGGGAAGATACATATAGGTAAAAATAAATTTAAGATTAAAATATAACCCCCCGAATCATGACTCATAAGATGAATCCCATAGATTAGTTTCTTTCGTAACAGTTTGGTTGGGAGGACTGACTGGTTGTTTCTTTTGGTGTACCATTTACTGAAGGTGCAACTCTCACTGAGTACCTGTATTTCTATTGATGTGTTTTCAAATGGGACATAAAATCATGTCTTCAAGAAGTTGTTTTCAATATGACATAAAATAATACATGTGAAGAACTACAACAGTACTTGGCACATGGTAAGTGCCCAATTAGTATTAACTCCTGTTATTATCAGCAGCCATACAGTGAAAAGTAGATTGAAAACTTGGTGACTAACTGGCAAATTGGGACAAGATTAAATATTTCACATCAAGGTGACTTAAAGTAAAAATCATACTAAAAATATCTTACCTGGGCTCCAATTTGTGCTACAAAAATTGGTAACATCTGAAAATAAAAGAGAAAAATTCACTAAAAATATATTAAAAGATAAGTTCTGGGAAATAGTATAAATATTGAGGATTTTCTTAAACAGATATATTTGTTTAACCAATATTTGTTACTAATGTATCATCTATAATCATAGATAAGGACTCACTCATAGAATTGGATAGGATTCATCCCATCTGTAAGATTAGTCAGGGAGATATTTAAGACCCTGTCCACACCAGCACATTTGAAGTAGAAGTTAGCACAGCAGACGGAGCTATGAGGGTTTGTGTCCTTCAAAGGCCTGTGTGATCAGGTTGGGTCCTCAGCTTGTGGCACTCTCTGGAGACAGTGAATTTTAAGAGATGGTCTCTTCTGGGAGGTCTCCCAGGTACTAGGGGAGTTGCCCTGGAAGGGGGCACTGGGACTCTCATGCCTGATTTCCCCCCTTTTGCATCCTGGCCATGAGGTTAGCTGCATTTTGTACTGTTATGCACTTCTTGCCACCACATGCTGCTTTACCACAAGCCCAGATGTAACAGGGACAACTGACTATGGACCGAAACTCTATTGTCATCTTCTCAAATAAGCCTTTTCTCTTATTAAGTTGATAATCCTAAGTATTTGTTATGGTAATGGAAAGCTGACTAACACATAAACAAAAAGTAATTTTAGTGTCTAGCAGATATAATATTGAAAATTACAGTGATGATAAAATGCATAGATTTCTTTTACTTGTTGCCTCAGAAGAAACATTAAAACAAGTAATTGATATTTTAAAACACAGAAGTTTCTTGAAACATATGTCTATTCTCATCATAGTTGCCTGACTGTTCTGTTGTTAAAATACAGCACGGCGGGAACTCACAAGATGTAACACTCAGTAACCCCAGCATTGGCAGAGATCTTAGAATTAGCTGAGAAATAATTAAGCGGTCACTGGTAGCTAAATGTTATGAATTTGTAGCTGGAAAAGATTTGGGTGAGGTGTTAGAATGGTCTGGAACTCCCTATTACTTCAGAACTACACAAAGAGCTGACATTTGACAGGAGTTGTATGGATCTAGAGTCTACTCCAAACCACTCCTTTGATAATTGGGAGCTGCCAAGAGGTGCCTAGGTTTGTGGGAGAAGAAGTTAGCCTCTCTGTATAGGGAGAAGTGGGGGGTACAGAGACTGGCACTGTGCGGAGAAGATTGGATATGGGTGTCCTTAGGCGGGGCACAGTCCAGAGACAGCAAAGAATCCCCACTGAGGCTGGGGGTCGATTTACATTCTCGCATGTTGGGAGCATGCAATGTTAAACCCACTATACTGAAACTTCTGCAACTTCTACAATGACCTCTCATGCCTTTGACTCCAGTGGACAAGTACTTGTTAGGGATAAGAACTTGTACTAAGTCTGTCTTTAAGTTTACATCAGGGCAACGACTGGGACTGAAGCTGGGCAGTCAGAGTGTGGATCACACTAGGAGCATAAATTAAGGAGATTCTCACTTTATTCGTGCTTCTCAAAGCTTTTTCAGGGGTAGATTTTATTACCAAGACGTACATTATAAGATATTTTGTGTGTCTTTCATTTCAGACATTGAATTGACCCAAGGGAAATACTCATTGACACGATCAGAGGCTTAGTTACAAGGGTGTTTACTGTGGCTTTGTTCATAGAAGTAGACCGTTTGGGAAAAAATCTCCACATTTTCACAATTTAGTGTAGAACTGCATCCTAAGCACTCATTAAAATAATTCTATAAAGGAGTATTTTAAGATACGAAAACTATTCAAAATGTATTTAGTGAAAAAAATCAGGTTACAGAACATCTAGTATAGCAAGAACATAACTTGTTTTGAAAATGTACTATATACATTGAAAAAGGACTAAAGGACACATCCTAGAATGTTAATAGAATTTATTTCTGGGTGAATTTTATTATTTGTTTTTTCTTATATGTATTTAAATATTCTTTTTAATTAACATACTAACAAAATAAACAAATAATACTACAAAACATTAAATATCTGTGTGGAGAATAATGGGCTTGACATGTTGGAGAGAAAACAATTTAGTCTGACCATAACAGGATAAAAATATTTTCTCCAAAGCTTGTTAAATTGTTTAGAGAAGATTCAAGAAGCTAAGGATTTGGACTTGTCCAAAGTTAAAATGCAAACACTTCCAAAAATGATGAAATCTTAAGTATATTATTTTTATCTTAGTGTGAAAGTATTTTTTAAGAGTTTTCCTGAAAGCAAGCAGTGGTGGGAAGTGAGAATATAGTAACTGAGAGTCCCTAGGGATTTTCTGAGGTGGCATGAACAAAGAGCACACAAAAAGGGGAAGATTAGATTTGCTGAAGATGAACTGTACCCATCTCCTAATTTTTCTTTGGGGTGATCTTCGTTACCCAGAACGTCTTCAGTAGAAAACAATCTCAGTTCCTCTCAGTTTCTCTCCTTATTCTCTTCCCTTTCCAATCTTCCTTCACTCTTTGGTTCCCCATCTTACTAGTTATAAATGTATTCTGGAGCAGTCACAAGGCAGAGTGCTCAGCATTCTGGGTGTGGCTCCAGCAAGAACCAAACCACCAAATACTGGTCTCTGTTTTATGGAACATACATCTTCACATGACCAGGGAATAATTTTCCAGACACTTACAACATTCTCTCAAACCTATGCACTTCTATCCTAGAGCAACTGCCCTCTGATGTTAAACTGAGGGTCAGTCCTGGTACTTACTTGTGGTTGCTGCTGATTTTGTCCATTCAGTGCCCCCAGGGTTAGCGGCAGTTTCTGGGCACCAGGGGCCAGCCCTGGGGCAGGAGTAAGCTGTGAGGCAATGAACGAGATCTTCACTGTGTTTTTTTTTTTCAGTGTGAACGTTAGGAAACTAAAATATACTTGCCAAATGTAAAAATACATTTAGAGTGAGGATTTGTTATATAAATATCTACCATTTTACTGGGTGCATAATTAGACACAGGTAAAATTCAGACTTGCTTACTCTGCTAGTACAAGACAAAGTCCATTACTAACTTTTTCCATATTACATTTTTCACTAGCATTTAACTCATTCTCTTGGAGAATTATTTAGGTGATATTTCCTCGCTTTTCCCTTCTGGCTCCAATAGCAAAGTTTCTTGGACTTTTCTGATGGCTTTTTTTTTCTGTGAAGAAATAAATTCCTTCAAAGGCATTCCATAACATTATGAGGTGGAGAATAAATCATTTAGTTAGACTATGAATTAATACTACAGTTGAATAGGAACACTGGAAAAATCCATTTTAATTAGGAAAGGAAGTTGTTTTTCTACTCTAAACTGATTAAACTTAAAAGATATTCTGTGAGAAGATTGAAGATCTTTCTGCTCTTTGCAGTTTGCTCTTATTACTGGGGTGAGTACGTTTATGTGGGTGTCCATGTGGATGTTATAATGGGCACCAAGTAAGGTATGGTGGAGGAGGAATGGTGAGAGGGGCTTGGAGAAGAAGTGAAAGGAACTTGAGAATCAGATCAATTCCTTTAGAAGAGATATGCTTATTAAGAAAACTTTTTCAAGATGTAGTGACTAGCATCCAACTCGCTTTTACTTTTCTCCTGTTCCTCTGTTTTCGCTTATCTACAGTGAATGTGTGTGTATTGCACTGGTGGACAGGCATTCCCCATGTTCTTGCCTCTCCTCCATGCTCAACATTAAGCATTAGATTTAACATTGGATATTATAAAAGATGAATGGTGCCTGCTCTAAAGGGTACTTACCAGTCGCAGATCTGACCCCAGGGTGAGCAGCTGCGTTAATGGTATCAGATTTAAGGAAGGGAAGACCTGTGGGGAGTTGGAATTGATGTATTAGACAAGAGACTATTTCTGCCACTCTGCCAGTGGGTAGCTATACTCAGGGCATCTGTGCTCCTGTCTGAGGTGGATTTACCACCCAGGGCCTCTCCAGCCTTGCGTGGTCCTCCCTAGGCCCTGCTGTCCCCTTCAGTGGTCCTGGAAAGCACCTTAGCAATGTTTCAAGTTTATGTTGTTAGCTGTCTTGCTCTTATTTCTTATTTTATCATCCATATTCACTTAGGTATCTAATTCTATGTATCTAATTTGTATTCTTCTTAACAAGGGTCTTGAAATCATTTGAACTGCAGGCTCCTTAAGGAAGGAGACTAGCTTCTGACATGACTATTCTACAATGTACACTGACTAAAGAGACAATTTTAGATTCTAGTATTACCTGTTTGTATTATTTCACAAAGTCTAGATGTAGGTATAGCAGAGGAAGGTGTAGGGGCAGGGAGTATAGTTGTCAAGAGGTAATGCTGTTTTCAAAAGTATTTAAATATACTTTGAAGAAACAGATTCTGCAGGAACATACCAGCTTGAAAACAAAACTTGAGGAAATCGCAAGGAAATCTACAGCCCTAATTTCTGCTGCCTTTGCAGATATCACAGAAGACAAACACAATGTCTCAAGGGCATAGATGAGGAAGCTTTGAAAACAGGTGTGCTATTGCTTTTCAAAGTTTATGGGATTTAGTTGCTAAACTAAATTATTATTCAAACAAAAGGGAAAAGAATGAGAGTGTTTTTTCCTTTCTTTAAAAAAAAGTGTTTTGGCTCGTTTTTTTTTCCTCCCCAAAGTAAAACCTTTCTCTCTTGTTCATCCATGAAACACTGTGTAAATCTTGATTTTAAACCCACAAGGCTTAGTACGCTTCCTTTGTTTGTTTGTAAATCTTTCAATTGTAGGATACTTACCTGACTAGGCTGCTGTTGGGTTAGTGGAGTCACCTGATCTGGAGCCAGTTTTGTTGGGGATACTTCCAAAGCAGAGTTAAGCTGCTTCTGTGAATACAAATATTTGAGAAGCCAGGAATGCAGTTCAGGTTTTACATCCAGAAGGTAGCAGGTTGTCTTGTTGCAAAAATGCCTGTCTTTAAACTCTATGTATTTTGAACAATTTTAATTCTTGGAACATTTTTTGCATGGCAGGAGATAGATCTGTAGATTGTAAAAATTGAAAGGAGTGTGTGTGTGTGTGTGTGTGTGTGTGTGTGTGTGTGTGTGAGTGAGCCAGGGTACATGGGTTTTCTAGTGGTTTTCCTTGGCTTCTATTCCTTTTCTATAACTGCTATTCTCCTTTGTCTGAACATGAAATATATACTCAGTATCTTAGTTCTGTGCATATTTGCTTTTTCCCAAAGCTTGAGTTGAACTGCCATAAATACTACTGTATTTTCATTAGTTTCCCACTTTTGCCTTGTGCCTGACATGTTGATCCTGTAATGAAAGTTCAGGCCAGGGTACTTGTAGGAGTGAAATGTCCTTGCTACCTCCGTGGTCTGGTTGTGTCACTTTGTTTTATAGATAAGAGAAGCCAACTCACCTATCCAAGGTGATGTGGTAAGTGGTAGAGCCAGAAACAGGATCTCTCGAATGCTCTTCTTAGCCCTGAAAAATGAATCCTTCCCTTCCAGCTGACTATAGCCAGCCTTTGCTCCTGGATGTGTCCCTGTGGACAGGGAGGGTGGCCTTCCACATGCACCAGCCCCAGAGGAGTCAACTCTTGGTTTCCCTTTGGACTATCACCCTTAGTTGTAAAAAGAATGGTTGGGATTACCAGTCTGTGGAGGTCCCTTTCAGTCTTAAGACTAAGAAAGGATATATTCTCCAGACAAATCTTTTCATCCCTAAAATCTTGTTAACACAGCAGCCAGAATGAACCTTTCAAAGCAGTAATCCTGTCACTCCCTTTGCTCAGTGCATGGAATGACTGCCAATTTCACTCAGAGTAAAAGGCAGACACCTTTCAAGGTCCATAAAGTGTTATGCTCTGAATCTCTAGTTACCCTATGACCTTTTCCTATCTTATCTCCTCTACTCACTCTGCTCAGGCCAGCAGGGTCTTTGTTCTTTTGGGGTTGGTACAGCCCATTCCTGCCTCGGCATCTCATCTGCACTTATTTTCTCTGACTGGAATGCTCTCCTGCCAGAGGTTGCTTTACTTCTGCACCTGCCTCAGTTGAATTCACACTTGAATTCACTTTCTTATTGCGACCCACCTTGACCATGTTCCTCTCTCTGATGTGTGTCCCAGGCTTGCTCCTTCTAATTCTGCTCTGCCTACCCTTTTCTTTAGTGCTCACCACCTCCAACACATATGTAATCTCCTGATTACATGTATCATTTGTTTTCTGGCTAAAATATAAATGTCACAAGGATAGAAATGCTTTGTTTTATTCAGTGATACAACCCAAGCAGATAAATCAATGTCTGGGATACAGTTGGCATTCAAGTAATTATTGAAAGAATGTTGGTTTCTTCCAGGCCACCTACTTCTGTGACTTTGAGTCATCTGATTTCCTTTCTTTCTACTCAGTATTTGCCATCTGGTGCCTGTCCCCAACTCTAGATCTACTGAAAATAACCACTGGGATATTGTCAGTCTCCAATTTGCAAATGGATTCATTTTCATGCCTTTATCATTTCATACACTCATTTGCACAAAATAAGAAATGTCTTGTTCATGTGTCCTGATTTTCCCTTGATAAATATTGTTTCTCCACCTAGTAGACATTTAGTGTCATCTCCATGTCCCTGACCTATTCTCGTCCACTGCTCCTTTGGCAGCTGTATCGGTCTACACTTTGCTCCCCAGTCCCCTTTGCTGTGCTTCTACAGTTTTATTTAAGTTTTCACAATTGTATGAAAATTAAAAAATACTATACTTTATTTTGAAGAACCCTTTGGTAAAGTTATTCAGTGATGTGAAATATCTATTTGTTTTACAAAAAGTTAACTTCCTACTTTACCTTGTTTCAGATTAAATTTTCACAGAGCCCTTCTTTCTGGGATGAAATGTACATGGACATGGAGTAAAGTAAGGGGGAGGTTGATTATTCCTCTTTTGTTCCATTCTCCCTTAAGCTTACCCTGTTCGTTTCCTTCACAGCACTAATCACAGCTATTTATAATTAATGTTTCTTTTTTTTTTTTTACCACAATTACTTGATTTATATACATAGGTCTTGTGAACACCATGGGGGACCAGCTACCCCACCATTGTGTTTTTAGGAAATAGTACAGTGTCTGGCACACAAAGAGCTTTCAATCTATATTGGTTGATTATATGGATGACTATAGAAGTATCAAGTGAGCTTCAGGCTCGACTAAGAATGGTTTCTTTTTTTAATAGCAAATATATTTTTTCTTAATGTCTGTACTGAAACATCTTGAACAAAGAGAAGTCCATTTTGAGATCCAAACCACCCATGTGTATGTTTATAAGGTGGAAATCTGGAGTAAGTATGAAACACTGATCCTCTTTTCTTTCAAAACCTGTTATATGTGAACATGTTTGGTGAAGAAATGTCCAGAGTAAAAAAAGGCTGACCACTTTGTAGTATGATTTTGGTATCACACAGTTTGATAGACATTTTAGAATTTACATAATCTATAATTTATTTAATTACTCAATTAGAAAAATCAGAAAATTTAGTTTACTCCTTTAGTCATGAACAAAAAATTAGTTGTCAAGAAAATTTTTTTTGGAAAATCAAATAATTGTCCATTTTAAGTAGATATAGCCTGAGGCATTTTATTTTCCCTCATTCCTAACCCATTGTTTTGCCAAAATAACTGAAATTCTTCTCTAACTGCGTGGATGTATTTTAAAATGTGAAATATTGAAATATGCACCAACACCTTATTAGTGTATTATCTTTTGCCTTGGAAAATAAAAACAGGAAACTGAAAAAAATGCATCATAAACTAAATCCACTCTGATGGCTGCAGGAAGACAGAGGCCTGCAGCTAGAGATGCTGCACAGCTGGCTGACACAGAAAGCAAACAGACTGCACTTACTGGTAATGACTGAGTCGTTCCGAGAAGACAAAACAGCAGGATCATAGTCTTCATGTTTCAAATGGCTACCTATAAGAACAAAGCAGTGTCCCCAACTTTAGATCTACTGAAAATAATCACTAAGCTGTCGAAGTCTCCATATTTGCAAATGGGTTCACTTTTCATGTCTTTATAATGCAATACATTTATTTGCATAAACTAAGAAATACCCGTTCATATGTTCTGATTGTCATTTGATAAATACTGCCTTTATACCTAATAGACTTTCAGTGTCATCTCCTTAAGCACCACCTATTCCTAAGTACAAAATATTGAAACATTTTGTACTCTATTTTTTCCCTTTTGAGACACATGATACTTTAAAAAGATAAACATTCTACTAAAACATGGTCAATTAGTTACCTTGTGTTCACCAGGCAAAATATACAGATGAAATGATATTCAAAATCCAAGTGACTTCTCCAGTTTACTCTGGTAAAATTCTTTATTCTTTGATGATTTGAATTTGTAGACAGAATTTAAACTCAGCTCCAGAATATTGGAAACGTGAGAACCAATCAGGTTTTAGTTGTGTGTGAAATCATTTGGTTTCTTTCATTTCCCAACACTTCATTAGTTGGGTTATTAGCTACAGACATTATGTTACTCAGTGTCTAACATTTGACAAGAGGGTATTTCAGGGAAACATACCTTGTGTAATTAAAAAAGTGCAACCATTAAAAAAAAATTAAAATCCATCTTCACTTACATCTCTTTCCTAAACTATTTCCAAAGTTACTTGTTTTATCATGTAAGAATGGAGATGTAAATCAAATATCAATATATATGGAGCTCACTATATACTTAAAATGTGAAGTTTATGGGCCGGGGATTTAGCTCAGTAGTTTCGTTGCCTGCTACGCAAGCACAAGGACCGGAGTTCGATCCCCGGTACCAAAAAAAAAAAAAAGTGAAGTTTATTATGTACATTGCTTTGTAACTTATCTGATGTACTTAAATAATGAACAACTTTATATGCCAGTACACATGGATTAATTTCATTTATTTAGTGGTTACATTATATTACATCACCTTTTTATTTTGATGAACAGTAAATCCATTTAAATTTTATTTTGTAATGATAAAAGTGTTATGATGAATATCCTCATACAACTTTTACTTGCACATGTGAGAGTATCTGTAGGTGATATTTGTGCAAATATTTTTTAAAGGTTAACTGGATTTTATATTTCAATAAATATGGCTAAATTGTCTTTCAGAAATTCAAATTGTTTTTATTTCTTTTTGAATTTTTTGAGACAGAGACTGGCCTTGAACTCCTGGATGTCCTCCCACTCAGGTGCAGGCACGCGCCACTGCAGCCAGCCTATAGTTCTTTTTTATTGGTACACTTTAGGTATACAATATGATGACATTCATCATTGGGAATTTGTACGTTTACTTGATATATCCTGGTTCTTATTTTTTTCCCCATTCCCCTGCACTCCCTTCAACCCTTCCACCCTTCCCCATTTACAAAAGTTTTGTTTCTATTTTTTCCTTTTCTCATATTTTTTCTTTCCCTTCTTCCCCCCTGGCCCCACTTCCCTTTCCCTTTCCCCTTTGGACCTTTTCTTCCTATTTCATATTATCTATTATACATTTTGGTCCTCATTTACACTTTCAGTTTCTTAAACCAGAAAAACTGTTTGGTATTTACACATGTGTGTCTATTCATTTCACTTAAGAGTATGGTCTCAAGGTGCATCCATTTAGCTATAAATGTCTCTAGTTTCTCATTCTTTATGGCTGAGTAGTACTCCATTTTATAAAA